CCAGTGCCACACAGTGTTCCCCGGGAGCCGCTCCGGCTCCGCTCGCATCGGTGCGGAAGGAAAGGGGAGGCAGGACCTCGCTGCGAGGAGAACCCTGTTCCCATGAGGGCTGTTCCATGCCAAGCGGGTGTTGGATTTATCACTCGGCAGAGCTCCTGTTCCCATAGGCGCTTTGCTTTTCCCTCCTACAGCCACGGTTTTCCAGAGGCTCTCGTAAGCGGATGTTGCAGAGCATCACATACATTTATTGTCCCGGGATGGATTTCTTGGAGGGCTTTTCCTTGGGCTTCGCGGGATGGGCACAGCCTTCCCAGACCCAGCTCTTCCCAGCAGTGCTGGTTTCCTGCAGCAGGAAGCTCTTCACTCTACAATACCCTGTTTATAAAGTGGAGGGTGACAGGGAACTGTCCTGCCCCCCAATGCCAGGACACACCAGGAACATGGGGGGGGTTGTACCCCCAGAGGGCTTCAGGGGCCCCTTGCAGAGCTTCCCTCCCTGGAATTGGGCACTTGGCCCTGAGTCACAGCTGCCCGGCGGAGGCAAAACCTTGTGCTCCGGACAACTTTTTTGGAGCTTTTCAGTCTTGGATTGTCTCAACTTCCTTAATCCCTCAGCGTATTTAATCCTTGATTTCTTGATTAAATGGCTGGAATGTAACAATCACCTGCCTGGCTGTTAGCTCTCTTCACATGTCCTTCTTGCAGCTGTAATTCCCCTCTTCCCGTGCAGTCCTTCTGGAAGGACCCCCACCATCACAACACCGAGGCGGTGACACACTCTCCTTTTTTATTTCCGGCTCCTGTCGCTGGTTCCTGCAGGAAAGAGACTCCGGCTCTCCTCTCCTGCAGCGCCTGTGGCTCGCTGGCACGGTGTTCCCAGCTGGCAGCGCCGTGGCTCACCTGTTGTTTCTTCTCCTGCAGCGGCGAGCACGGAAGCAGCCAATGCAAATTCGGACAAAGAGGCAGAGCCTGAGGAGCCCCAGGAGAAAGCAAAAGTCCAAGGGGCACCAAAAATCGAAGAGGAGGAGCAGGACCTAAAGGTACGGAGGCGCAGAGGTGCGTGTCGGTGAGATCCGTCCCAGCTCCGGTTGCTCTCCCCGGGGCTCCCCGTGCTGCCAGCAGCGTGGAGGGAGGGACGTGCTGGCTCCCTCTGCCCGGGGGATGGTTGAGCTTTGGGCTGTGGATTCGGCCCGGCTGGACCTTGTCTGTCCCGTGCTGCCGGCGGGACGGCACTGTGTCCTCTATGCCTCTGATCCCAGGATCCCACGTCTTGGCCCCGGGAAGGAATGGGTGTGTGGGATGGGGCCAG